ATATACAGTATATATACTGTATATTCACAATTGTTCTATTATTTTTATTATTATTTTAATAATAGCTTCCTTTTCTTCCATTAATACTACTTTATGATATTTTATTGTTGATATTTACTTTTTTTTTACCTCTAAGTAAATGATATGTTAACTTAATACATGATGCCAATTTAGGGAAACTCGGCAGGATGGAGCAAATGTGAAGTTTGTCGGCCCACCAATGGCCAAGTGGTTTGTCCGGATATGTCAGGCACCGTCCCTCATCACCCGGCCGTCCTATTGTGGGTCTGGCCGAACCCAATGGGCTTGCTAAAAAGATGCCCTCTTAATGCCCACAGGACGTAAGACGTAAGACCCAAGAGTAAAAAAAAAAAAAAAAAAAAACCGTTTGTTGATTCGACCAGGCCCACAGTCCAATGGTGGAAGACAGAATCCGAGTTATCCGGAACGGACAACCCCCGAAAAATTTGGGGTTTTTTCACCCGTCCGGATTCATTCCCGCTGATTCCACCAGAGCGGTAGGAAATCACTTTAATCATTCGGTCATCGGCCTGCTTCCTACGATGAGTATGGAATAAAGGTCCTCTTAGCGCTCACAGGATGAAAAAAATCAAACGATGGAAAAAATATTTTAAATTTATGTAATAAATACAAATAACCGGATAGATAACAAGAGATGTCGGCTACACCCTACCAAATAGATTAGTAATTATTCAGCTTTACAGCCGGATAAAGTTCGTTTGGTATTTTTAATTTATACTGTATTTATTAAATTAATAATTACTAATTAAACATTTTGGTAAGAATAATAATTTCTAAAATATTTCACCAATTAAATTTTATTAAATTATTTGAAAAATCGAATTGTATTCCACCAACGGAATTGTTTTGGATTCGAATGTTTTCGAACGAATAATGAGAAAAAATGAATTCGTTAAGCGTTTTTCTTGTAGTTTTGTTTGTTTTTCACGATTTGACCATGTTCATTTTTACTAATAAGACTTCCTACCCTTATAAAATTGACAATAAAGTCGTTTTCAATTTCGACTTTTATCACGGGGAACTTAAAACAGGAAGAAAAGTTTATGGAATTAATTTCGTCGCCTATGGGAGAGACTTTGAATTTCGTCTGATAGAACAAGAATCCGTCTTGTATTCGGCTACAAAAGTTGTTATTCATAAAGGTAACGCATTACAGAAAATGTATCTACGAAACATAGGCGCATCCCCCGTCATGAGAGGAAAATTAATACATCAGAACATTTGGAACGTCATCGGTTATGTTTACGAAAAGGAATTATTTCTAATATTTCAGGAAGGTCCCCATTTATATATGGTAGAACCACCTCGCTTGCACGTGAAAGATCATCAAATTCAAACCGGAGTCATTTATAGAATGAGAGATGTGACAATAAAACCGACTTATGACGATGGCAAAGCTGTCTGCGAAGTGATGAGGGATGATGGTTTTCTTAGATTTAACTATCGCAGGAAATCTGATCGTTTGCAGTTTAGTAAACAAATTCCAGTTACTGAAACATTGAAATCGTAAGTAATTATTTTATACATCTAGAAAATAGAGTGCAGTATTCATTTAATGTTCAGTATATTAAATTTTAAAGATTTTCTGTTAAACTATCTTGTATTTTTTTCTTTCAGTCATCAAACCATGTGCTCTCTGGAAGTGTTAGTCGATTACACTTATTTCCAACATATGAGCTCGGATCATAAGCGTGTGGTTACTGAAGTTCTGTATTATATTGGAATTGCAGATGATATATTTCAAAAAAGCGACATAAATGAAGACAGAATACCTGACGGAGTAGGATTTAATGTTGAAAAAATAACGATTTTCGAAAACAAAGATGATCTGGGAAATCCTTTATCAATAGAAACAAAGGATCACAACGTATTTCTAGATTCTTTATCTCGATATCGCCATCCTTACTGCATGCTGATATGCTTTTGCCACAGAGATTTTTGGAAACGAAACGATTGCGTGACTGGAGACGCGAAGAAAATTGGTGGAATATGTCACAATGTGAACGCAGCTACGAAGAAAATGAGTAACGTAGCTTTTGTGACCAGTCTAGAAAGAAACACGACGGTACCAAGATTTAGAGTCACATTAAATCTAGTTCATCAATTGGGACACGCATTCGGTTGCAAAGATGATGCATTCAAAGACAAAGAATGTAGTTCTAATTACTGGAATCCACAAATGGGAAACTACATCATGTATCCAAAAATTCCCTACGGAAAGAAACCAAACAATTGGAAATTTTCACCATGCTGCTTAAGATCTATGAATAGACGCCTTAAAGACAAAAGTTAGTATTTTAAATATATTTTTTAAAACAATATACTGTTTAATGTGTTAAAGGATCTCTCTATAATATGTCTACGTTTAATTATACGTAGATATCTGTTTGAAAAAAGCCAATCTTCCATCCTGCGGCAACGGAATTGTGGAAGAAGGAGAAGCGTGCGACTGCGATCCATCAGTGGACGATTGCAAAGAAATTGAGAAGTGTTGTATTCTTAAAAGTTCATCAATAAAATGCTCTCTTCAATACCATAAAATGTGTTCGCCCGGTAAAGGAATGTGTTGCGACCAATCTTGTTCTTTTGTACAAAGTATGGCAAACAAGAGTTGCTACAGCAACGAAATTTGTTTTAATGGTACTTCGGTATGCGATGGATTATCACCTTTTTGTCCCGGGAAAGTCGAACCCGATGGAACATCCTGTTTTAATAACGCTGGAACTTGTGTTAAAGGCGAATGTAGAGGCAGTATCTGCGATAATCATGGCTTTAAACTTTGTGAATGCGCTACGCGTCACAAAGAATGTCATATATGTTGCAAAAACGGATCGGATGTTTGCAGAACAGCAAAAGATCATAAACTTTATCGGGTAGACGGCAGTTTGTTTGTAAAACCGGCCGGAACTGACTGCGATAACCATTACGGGACTTGTCTGAGGTAAATATTTTTTGTTAATTTTAATATATATATATATATATATATATTAAATAAATGTTGAATTTTTATATTGCAGTAACGGAACTTGTGTGAAGAAAAAATTCTTAACTAAGGTATATGGATGGAAAGAGATAGTAATTCCGCCTTTTGCTATACTTATAATACTCGCATGTGGTTACCTTTACTTCGTAAATAAGAATAAAGATAATGTAACGCCAATATTCAGACAAAGACAAAAAGCAAAAAGAAAACCCGAAGAAAAAAATACTAAATCAAGAAGAAAACGTGTTAAGAAAAAAAAAGTCATAGTAAAGAAAGGTGCATCAAAGGAAGTGAAACATTCTAGCGATGTGGAATAAAGTAAATAATACGAACACAGTTCTGTTCTATAACGAAAATTATTTAAAATTTATTTAAAGTTTTTACAAAATATTCACATAAAGCAGTTACAAATATCCCTTTTCTAAATAAAATATATTTCATAAAAGTTTACATTAAAACTTCGTTTCTTTTTCTTTACTGTTTTGCTTTGCAGATATTAAGTCAGACTTTTTCGTGTTCATCGCGTTATTCAGACAGGTGTAGGAAAAAATAATTGAAGTACCATTCAATTATTCAATTCGATATATCCGGAAGAAACCGTGAGGTTCGACACAAGGTTCACGTTCCTCATCAAACGCGCTTAAAATATTTTAGTAACGAGAAAAGAAAATGTATAAAACCCGTCACGAAGGTTAAAATAAACAAAGTATGGATCAATTTTTTCGAAAGAAATGACATGGCATAGTTGTTAAAGTCGTTAAAATTCCTGGTTGTTAGGTGTTGCAATCGCGATAAAGAAAAGATCATAAACGAAGATATGAGCGAAGGATTCAAAGTTCGATCAACGCTATTTGGACAGAGTTTAATCGAGATGTCAAATTGATTACCTGAGATGGAGCTTTCTCGCGCCCGATTTGGTCGTCTAATTTCACCTAGAAACAAGAAACGAATCAATCGAGAAGTGAAGAGAAAAACCTATTGTATTAAAAACATCCACTTATTACGGCAGTAAAAGTAACGATGATAATTCTTGAAGATCCGACCGGAATTTGAATCAGAGTTTCCATGAGCGACAGGCCTCGGTCAACTTTAAAAATTATTAAAATACTAATCCAGAATAGATGGATTGGCCTTCCTCAGATAAGCAACTGGTTTAAACCAAAACACGTAATCGGTACCCCACTAATAGGCAGAACAGAGTTACTTATCCACCTCTTAATCAATGTTTACACATTCAGAAACAAAAGTCAATATGTTCACATATTCACCATACATATCTATAAGTCCTACGATATGGTACAAAAACGTTGGTAAGAAATTCGTCTGCTGCATTGATTGATAGTGTTTACGGCAGTGAATCTGCTGTTTATCGATAATATTTTTATATACTATGAAATATAGTCGGCTTTTCAAGCTTCAGGCGCATTGTGTGCTCGGAGTGCTTTCCATATGAGTTCATGAGATACTTTGTAGAATGCTTTCTCCAGATACAGAAAAGTCAAATGAATGGCTTTAAAAAATTTTAAATGACTATATTTCATAATTAAATATATAAAAATATTATCGATAGACAGCAGAACTTATGCCGTAAACACTGTCAATGAATGCAGCAGACGAATTTCTGGCCAACGTTACTAGGGTTTCGTATACTTTTCGTTTCAGATGGATCGATCTGTAAGATTAAATCAGTTTTTGTCACGTACAGATTGCTTCTGGCGTGTGTTTTAGTTGACGGAAAGTATACAAGTAGGATCGAATCGTATTTATTCTGTGAATGAAATTGCTCACAAAACGGCAAAACGGGAGAGTGCACGCCATGCATTCTTGTACAATCTCGCAAAATTGTCTCTTAAATCTGTATATTTGCTTTATCACAATTCAACGTTATTCCAATCTATATATATAATCGAGACGAGTTGATAATGATAATAATGATAATAATAATAAATGCCTTGACTCTGGTCCGGCATAGTATACAGCCACCGGTGTGAACCGAGTAACCCACTAAACCCATAATAACAATAATAAGTACAGAGCCCAAACGGTTAGGAGTTGAAAGTTGAAATTTTGTACATAGGGTACGTCACGAAAACGCACACTAAGAAGGGATTTTTCGAAATTTCCCCCGAGGGGAGAGAGACAGGATTAAGGTTTCGACAATGGAAGTGTTAAGTAACAATGGCAGTGTTAACAATGGAAGTGTCAACAATGTAAGTGTTAACAATGGAAGTGTTACGTAACAATGGAATTGTTAAGAGAAAGCGACGTGCAAGACGCATATGCAGTTTTTTTTCGTTTTTGCGGAAAATCGAACACATTTTTAGATCCATCTATAAATTCTCTAATTAGTCCGGAAACAGGGGAACCCAATTCTTGCATTCTGTAAAAACGGGCAAGGTTGACTAAAAAGGAATAAAGATTATTTCTTTTTAGTCAACCTTGCCCGTTTTTACAGAATGCGTAATTCGCTATCGTTACTTTTGCCCGAGCAACGCCGAGCCTACCTGCTAGTTGTTAATAAATCGGCAATTTCTTGATGAAAATTGTATTATAAAATATATATAAAAACAGTATATATATATATATTTATTTATTGGTTAAAATTGATTCAATATTTCATGACTTTTGTATTAATGTGCTCCTCAAACTTATAGTCGTGTACCCAATACTAACCCCCGAGTACCCCTTGCGTAGAACTAGTCTTCTTTCTGTACGTTCTGTGTGTCTCGTCGGATTATCGCTGAACTACAATGACAGTGCAAAGCGATCGTGTTGAAGAGCCTTAAAATTAATTTCCATAAGTTATTGACACTTATATAAACCAAGTACAACACTATTACATCGTCACGGTTGTTAAATGTCGGCCTACATATAGGATACAGTACATTCGGTGGGAACAACGCGCTTCTTGTGGTATACATAATTTTTCGATATTAATTTAATAAATTGACTCTTAAAATAATAATAATCTACTAAAAACGTGCAGTAATTATAATTGTCTATACAACCAAAACACGTGAAACTAGTTAGAAGGTAATTCGTTTTATAAGTATTTATTTTATGCTGCAAATCTCTAACCATACAAATAAATTATGTAGTAACTTGATATTAACAAGTTATTTGTTGCCATAAAGATAAATGAAGTAAATTCAAAATCCATAATCGTGATTTAAACATTGTGAGGTCCCAGACGAGGTCCGAATTCACGTAGATCGCAAAATTCTTGTGTCTAAATTATAACGAAAGGTTACAAGAGAGAGAGGGGGTAAGCCATTTGTCTAAATAACGAGGCACAAAAGATAAACAACGGATTCTGGGACGACTCTTACACGTGCTAAACGACTGTCAATGTCGAACCGAGAGATGGAACTCTGACACAAACGCTCGTATACAATCGAAATACATTAAGAAATCGTGAAAAGGGAAAGGTTCGATGATCAAGGAGACATCGCGCCGATCGCTCGAATTCTAAACTGTCATAAGAAAAGAAATAAAGGGTTTAATTACAAGCGTAGAGATCTTGGTTCCATCAACATCTCTCTGTCAGAGTCGAGGGACGGTGTCGGATAGATCGTTCCGAACGGACATTTCTCGCGACCCGAACCACTCTTAAACCTCATCTGCAAAAGAAGAGGAACCAATCAGAAAGCGAAATAAGGGATTCGAGGGAAAAATACTATAAAAACCCCGAATCTCAAGATCGAAAGGCAGTTCTCCTCAATGCAAAAAGCGTGATTAATCTGTGTCGCATCCTCCTTGGATTATTCCGACTCATCCGGACTTCGAAGAATTCGTAACTATGCCGACGATCTCTCCTACATCTTCTCTGCCCCGGGCCGTCATCAAACTTCCGTGGTAACTTCATTCGACGGGACCGAACGTCTCATCAACCTCGGACTGTGCCGGACACTAGAACATCTTCATTCGACAGCGAACTTCCAGTCACCCAAACAAGATACGCATAAGCTCATTATTTACTATAATAAACAGGTTTTTATAAGAACATGTGTCTTCTTTGTCTCCAGCATCACCCGCATACAGACAGCCCACACACTCTTCCTGACGCGGAATACATTGATTACCCCTTAAAAGTACGCAAGCTTACAATATACAAATAAATTCCCTCTAACGTCCATCGACCTGTGTGTCCTTCTTTAATTTCTACAATTAGATACATGAAAGTTGAAAGTAGATACGGAAAGCTTTGGGGTGACGGCCTGCCTTAACTACATATAAATTTTCCGAAATCAGGTTATTTCAATTCAAATATTTTCCACTGAATGTCGGTCATTTATTTAGACAGATGACCGGCATTCAATTTAATTCTATTGTTAACAGAAAAACTACGATGTACAGGGATAAGACATAACTGCTTCTTATTTCTGTTAGTCTTATGGCTTATTTTCGTCCCTTCTTATAATAATAAAATAAATAAAAACACGCAACTCTTCGCTTGCCCTTAGTTATTTTCAAACGAATGACAACCCAGAACTCACCACGGGGAGGTGGCTGCATTAGAGTTTCACTGAGAGTTGGAAAGAATGCAACTCCACACGTGATCAACATCACTTGTGCAGTTTCATTCGACCTAACTCATACTTGAATAACTTCAATTTAACGTTAGCGATTCTTCGTCTTCTCTTCGCGGTTCCGTCCGGAGACTAATGTTTGTCTGGAAAAACAAGAGAATTTTAACGAAAATTCTCTCAGAAATGTCCAAATCTAAAAGGAGACACTTACCTCCGAGCGGGCCGACTTTTGCTTGAAGATTCTTCCTCTTCTCTTCGCCATTTCGTATTTTCTCCTCCCACAAAATTTCGCCAATAATGGAAACCTTCAACAATGCATTCTAACAATTAGTTACTTTCAACAAATACGTGACGCGTTACGTCATAGCATTAATAGAGTTGTATTATTTCACTTTAAAAATTAAAATTTTTTCTATTTTCTAATAAATAGAATTATAAAAATGAAATTTACACGTGTCAAGTAAATTTATTTATTCTAATGTTATCTTGTGTTTTGGAAAGTGTAAACAGGAATTCGTATTACACAAACAACACATGGATTTTTTCCTTTTTTGACTTTTTCGGGTTCTCTGGGCTCTTTTTCGGGTTCTCTTCTGGTTTTTCGGGGGCTCTGAAAACGTGGAAATTTGCAAATAACTCGGTAAGTCAAATTTCACAATACTCCAATACTTTGCCTTGTTATGTATACATGAACATCAATAAAAACAAAACGCGTTTTTAACCTACGAGTATTTCCACCATTAGAAAGAAAACAATATGGAAATATCAAAAATATAATACTGTAGTAGATTTAAATGCCATGCCGATAATTTCACTACTTTAAAATATAAACTGGCCTCGGTAAGGCACCACGACCCAACTCGTATGTTTTAGACGCCTTCTGGATGGTCAGCATAGACATTGGCTCATCAAAGCTATGGTTACCAACTGAAATTTTATTTTTTCTGTTAATTTTCCTACTGATTTCATAACTATAGAGGCTAATACAAATTGCATTAGAATAGACTATTTGTATAAGTATAGTATTTAATTAATGCCATCTATTGAAAAAAATTAACAATGTGCAAAGAAATCAATCAAATGTAGAAAGAAATAAATCGATACATACAGATTCCAGAGATAAATTGGGATGAGATGTACGACATAACATAACTGCCGAGATTCATAGAAATTGGCCGAACGGCATAGACGTGCATAGCGAACAAACAAAGAAACAAACGCCCTCATCTATAATATAATCGACACCGGTTGATAATAATGATAATAATAATAAGTGCAGAGCCCAAACGGTTAGGAGTTGGAAGCTGAAATTTGGTACACAGATAGGGTACGTCACGAAAACGCACACTAAGAAGGGATTTTTCGAAATTCCTCCCCGGGGGGNCTTGGCTTCTACTGTACTATATTAGAATTGGTTTTCTGTGTTTTTGACTGCATTTCAGTTGGGTATGTCATGAGAATGTACATTAATTAATTAAGAAGATTTTTGGAAATTCCACCCCCTGAGGGAAGAGGAGGATAGAGTTAGTTTTAGTCAGTATAAAGTGTAAATAATAAAGAAGGAAAGTAAATAGTGGCTCATATAGTATACATTTTGGAAATTAATAAATATGACATATGCATTTCGGACCATAGTATTGCACTGAAGAGGGACTTAACGCTTATATAAGTCTGAAATGCATATGTTGAAACAATAAAAGAAGTGTCTAACCTGAAAGCTGTAATGATAGTCTACCGAACTTAATGTCGTATTAAAGAGATAACATACATAGAACATAATAACAACTATCCAAAAGTGATATTTAGAAGTTAATTTTCCATTATAATGAAAAGTTCTCTGATTTTTTTAATATTTTTTAGCTTAGTTAAATAAAAAATCTTTTTAAATACTAAGAATTTATTCAGATAAGGTAAAATTCAATAATGACTTTAATCATTTGTTTTTCTATTAGATATCCGATAAATAGAATAGTGAAAATGAAATTTCTTATAAATTTGACCCTAATCTTATAATATAATCGAGATGAGTTAATAATAATAATAACAACAACAACATTAAGTCATTAAATGCAGAGCCCAAATGGTTAGGAGTTGAAAATTGAAATTTAGTACTCAGTTAGGCTACATCATGAGAATGTAGACGAAGAACAGACTTTCCGAAATTCCCCCCACAGAGGAGTGGAGAGGGTAAAGGATTACCCTGAATTTGGATCTTACTGTACTATTTTAACCTGTCCTACGTTGTTCCCGAAAATATTCATGTTGACCTCATTGACCTGCGTGGGTGATCCTGAATATTTTCGTGTTTACATTGGAACGTTTTTGATACTAGACGTCTCTATGCATCACAATTTTTATATTAAAACAAACTTTGAAATATAATTGTTTTTGTTTCTATATTGTTCAATATATTTATTTTGTTTGTGAAACATAAAAAAATAATTTTTTATGATACAGTAAACACAAATTAAATGAAACCCATTTTGAACCAACATATTAAATTTGTATTTGTTGATTATGCTAAAGTATTCTACTATCAGATGAATAAAAAAATTAATGTGATAATACAGGGTAGGGCAAAAAGGACTGATATTTTTGAAATGGCTAGAACTCACCACCAGGTGAAGTGACAAGTGTTTGGCAAGTGGCATGAAGATAGTGAGGTCTTAGCATTGTCTTTTTAGTTGAAGACATGGAGTTGTGGACAATAGGATGCTGTGTGTTTGCATATGACTGTTTCCTCAAGAATAATGAGTCTATCTTGGCAGTTTAGCATGAGTTTTGTTGTCATTTCAATGTCCACAGAAACAAAGCTGTTTCTGTTCATAACACCATCTTATGTTGGGTTAAAGCACTTTGTTTGTGAGGTACACTCACAAACAAAAGACCATCAGGAGCACCACGAATGTGATGTACCCCTGAAAATGTCAAGAACGTCAGATCAGCCTTGCTGCGCAGTTCTTTGTCGATCTGCTTGGAAGATACTTCTGAGCGTGGCATCACTTATCGTTCAGTATGGTGTATTCTGCATTTAGACCTGTATTTCCACCTCTACAAATTGGTTGTTGTGCAACAGGTGAAGCCTGAGGATTGTAGTTAACAGTTATATTTCATTGCATTTTTGATTAATATTGTTTGATGAAATTAAATTCATTTATAATTAGATGTCAGTAGTGAAAAAATAAATTTTTATATACACAGATGTGACTCAAAACTGCCATTAATTGATGTCCTAGATAAACTGTGTTGGAACTATATATCTTGCTTTGCCTTTATGCAGATCAATCTACATCATTAAAGTACATTTCAGTAGCTGTATTATTAGGTAAAGATTACAATATATAATTTAAATTGGGGGTCAGGGAAAAAATTATGTAGGATTTCTTAACGATTTTTGGAATAGTTAAAGATCATGACGCTACATAAACTATAGACGAAAAGAATTCCAATAGTACGTATATTAAGTTTATTTAGGATTCGATTTAATTTTTTTATTTAGAAATTTTTTCCCGTTGATTGTTAATGCGATGGTCGTGAGAGTGAGTTACTGATCCAAAACAAATGTAAATTACTCGTTATAATTGAAATTACTCACTGGAAAAATAGCATTAAGGCAGAAACACGATTCATTTCTGTGCCACATTATAAAATAGCATTAAACCCCTCGTGTAAAACTAAATTAGAAAGTTATATCTTGTATATTAAGCTACTTATGTAATTAAATCTGTATAATTAATATATAGATATGCTCTAATGTGGTTCGGTAGAGAGGGATTTCGGTAGGATCGTCGAGAGGATAGTTGGGAATTTTTCCCTGAGTGCAGGGAAAATATTCCTTGTTCCTATAAAATTAATGTTATTTTTACTAACAGGAAATAAAATCAGTCTGTTTTATACTGTTTTTTTTTTCGTTAATAAAGAAACATTCTATATATTTCATTTATTCGAAAACGAATGCAAAAGGGGGGTGGCTCTACCCTTTCTGTAGGGCTCTTGGAAGCTTGTGTGGGATTTGGGTAGAGTGGCCACTTATTTTTGAATAAATAAAATATTACTAAAACCAACTGCACCATGTGCCGTATGCCATCAGGGCTATATAATGGCTATAATACTAATAATACTAGTGTCAAATTTTTTGGTAATTTATTAATATTATAGCCGTTATATATCCCAATGGCATATGTCAGTGCCAACACTGACATATGCCATTTAGTAATACATGTATCAGGATTTTATAGAGTTGTTTGTTTATAAATGAAATACGTAGAATGTTTCTTTATTAATAAAAAACCGGTCTTAGTTTTTAGTTTTTATTAGTAAAAATATTCATTTTCTCTCTAGTCCACAAGAGAAAATGTCTGGCTGTCCTCTCTTCTCGATGTTCTGATTTTGTATAAGCTCTCTGTTTTGTTAGTTCTGTTAGTTACGGCAATGCAACACTTGGGTGATCTGTCTAGGGAGTATGCCTTCCGGTAGGTCTTTTAAGGGTAACTGGCCCGTATTTAGGTGTTAAAGATGTGGAGAAAACCCAGAAAACTCTATGTGGTAAGCTTGTCCTGGAGAGATGTGAACTTATGACCAAACTACAGTAGAACCTCGAAAACTCGGCTCTCGATAACCCGGTACTCCGGATAACTCGGCCACACCCTGGCAGGGCAAAAAAATCCTTAGTTAATTAATTTTCATTATAGACAGCTTTATAAAAGTATAAAAGCTCTCATAAAGTATTTTTCTGAGGTCTGTCTTATCAGGTAAATTACTGTACACAGTGTATTCATTAATTTTCATTTTCATGTAGTAAAGGCTCTATGCCTTCATAAAGGACGTACTTTTCCTTTGTTTAAGGGTATTTGGGCAGTTTATTCTCTGTTATATTCTCAAGTAAACAATACATACAAGTACAGTACAGTATTTTCTGAGGAAACACTCGTACTTATTTTTTTTAACCCCATTCCCGATAACCCGGCATTTTCACAAACTCGGCCACCCTTCGGTCCACATTAGGCCGAGTTTTCGAGGTTCTACTGTACTAGTGTTTGGGGAATGAAATTACTTGGCCACTGGTGGGTCCCCTTATAAACTCTTGACAACTGTCTTGGGTGTGACGTAGAAAATTTCCAAATTTTTGTTTTTTACATAATAACATGATATAAAAGTTTGTTTTGATGAGTAGAGAAACATCTGTTTTTTTATTCATTTTGTTGATTTTATTTTTATATTTTTATGGCATTTGGAGAGAGGATAACACTTACATTTATGACCTGATCACGTCCCATCATATCTAAAATGTCTGTGGAAAAGAGTAATTTATTTAAAAATTGATTGAAAGTATTGTACAATTAAATCCAATGCAAGAGATCTTTATTCTGTTATCTACTTTATATGCCATTGATGCCACTGTCTGTATATCTGTCATCTGTAATCTGTCACGGAATGCCTAGAACATGCACTAGTGGCATTCCTAGCGATGATTTTCAGCTATTATTTAAAAACAGTATAATTTATTTATTAACAGTATATATTATTATTTTCATTTGTAATAGGAATTTATTATTTATACCACAGAATGACACTGCTGCTGCTAGAACACCCACTAGGGAGTGTCCCAGGCTACTAGTATTTAATAAGTCAGAGGTAGTTAACAGTTATATTTCATTGCATTTTTGATTAATATTGTTTGATGAAATTAAATTCATTTATAATTAGATGTCAGTAGTGAAAAAATAAATTTTTATATACACAGATGTGACTCAAAACTGCCATTAATTGATGTCCTAGATAAACTGTGTTGGAACTATATATCTTGCTTTGCCTTTATGCAGATCAATCTACATCATTAAAGTACATTTCAGTAGCTGTATTATTAGGTAAAGATTACAATATATAATTTAAATTGGGGGTCACCAAATTACAGCCCACAAGGTCAGTTCAACTGGCCCGTTGCTGCACTGTGCCACAAATGAGTTAAAATGTAATTATTTATATGGAAATATCATAGATTGTAGATAAACTTACTATGTAAAAAAATTAAAATCAGTGTAAGTAAAAATGCCAAAATTGGTCCAATCTGATTTTTGCATCTGACAATAATATAATTTTTAGATAAATCAATGAAATAAAAAATTTGGCGACTTTTTGCAACTTTGGATATCAGAGTGCTTTTTGTATAAGTACCTGTAATCAAGTTTCTAAGGAAAGCAATTACCAGCTTCCTACAGCCATCATATTTGTGTATTGGTAAATAAATATGTTAGTTGTCTTTTATTTTTTGTATTCAATATGCTGTATTGAACAAAATGGTTATAAGGCCTGCACTCGTCGTTCTCTCATCAGTTATCTGGCCCACTGTGAAAAAAGTTTGATGACTCCTAATTTAAATGATGGAAGAAAATTTCCTGATATAGAAATAACTTCATTCAAAGTTGTAAATTAAAATTACTCCTTTGTATGACTTTATAATAAAAGTATTCTTTAATTAGTTTTTCTGCCCTGTGGGCATTGAGAGGAATTTTTTCCAGGCCTGTAATGAGTCAGTCGGGTTGGCTAGGGATAGGGTTTTGTGTATCCACCACTCTGTAAAATTCCAGGAGAGTTGATTACCCAAAGCAGTGTGCTTTGCGTAATCAACTCTTGCCACTTGCTGTCTTAATCATTTGTTTAGTAATATGAATTTGGATAATTTTAAAAAATTTTTGAAAGATTGAGTAATTTTATTTCTTCTATTTTTATTATACAAAAATTAAAAATGTAAGAATATGTTTAATTTGAACTCTGCATTTTATTTGAATATGTGCAGTATTAATAATAATTATTTAGTAAAATTGTAGATAACGTATAGAATGAGCTTTTAAATGTTTATAGAGATTTTACAATATGTAAAATGCATGTTATAAATGTTATTTTTCGTTGAGTTGTGTTACCAAAAATTTGTTTTTAGTTATTCATCAAATTCTTGATGAATAATAATTAACAAACAAATTTTTGATACTTTGAAAATATGTTGATAAATTTTTTGTCTAATTCTTTAGTGTCCTCAACATATATGCTTTAATGGAGATCAAAACAAAATATTTTACTTAAATCCTAGTACTTTTGGCTTTCCAGTCCATCTTCAAAGGCACTAAAACTTGTCAAAGTCTCCATTTCAAATTTCATTTCATATGCAAAACAATTAAGAAAGAATTATGAAAAAAATTTTAAACTAATTGAATTAAAAATTTAATTTTAATTCAATTAAATAATTTGAAGTTCAAATTTTGTCTGGAGTTTTTATAAATAATTCAGGTTGAAAATTGTTCTTCATTCTTCATTCATGTTGAGCTGCAAGTTAGGTTTTTCTATTATAGCTGAGTGTAAACTCTTTGATTATGTACACCATCTGCTGGAGATGATGCGCATGACTAAATATAACACTTTTTTTATGGGAAAATGCTTTTCCAAAAATTATCAGAAATGGAAGCAGATATAACCAGTTTGTGTTGAAATCCTGTTCAATTATTCTATTAACGTGTGGTTCATGAATTTTCAAAATGAAATTCATTAATTTTCAAAGAAATTAATAAATCCCACTATCCATTTTTTTCTAGTAGAAACATTTTAATATATAAATGTTTTCAGCCACATGTAGGGGCCTGCGCCAGTTTCGACAATAATCAAATTGAATGTCTATAACAAAATAAAAGTTTGGAATAACTGCATATTGGAAGCATTTTCTATGAATTTTTAAAGTCATAGAAAATTCTGAACTGTATATTAATAGATAAATTAAATAGAATTGTAATGCAAGAAACTGTTTGGTTCTATCTGCTTCTGTTTTTGAGCATTTTTAGAAAAAAAAAACATAAAAAAGGTAATGCTTTTTCCCATAGAAAAAGCATTACCTTTTTCCCATAGAAAAAGCATTACCTTTTTCCCATAGAAAAAGCATTACTTTTTTAATACCATCTGCTGGAGATCACTTGCATGATAAAATAGATTACAATTAGCCTTAAAGACAGTACAAAACTAAGCAAATATCAATTCTGTCTTTAATATCCAATATAATTATTAAATTTCTCTATGCTCACCCATGTCTGAATAACTAAACTTACCAAACACTGATAGTTGGTGGTGGGTTCATGAATGATCAACAGGAAGCCATGTGGGTTTTTTCCAGACTTTCTGCACTTATCTAACATTTAAATAGGAGCTGGTTTTCTGTAGAAAATCCTCATGGGAAGCACACTATTGTAATATCATCCAAGTGTTGCATTGTCTTATTTCATCAAATCAAACCAAATTAAATTATTTCTGACATTATTTTGAATAATAGAAGTAATAAATTTTTTAGCATTATAGCAAGTATTCTACTCAAGCATTGATTTTAATGTAAACAACTAAATGTCATATTTGTTGAGGTATTGGAAAAAAGTCTTGGAAGCTTTTAATTTTAAAGAATCAGTTTACACATCATATGTATGGGTATCCAAAAAGAAGACAAATTCTCATTTTGGAGAACATGTCTTCCTTTTGGATACCATACAGTAGGCCTAATTCCATGTTTAGCTGTAGTTCTAGTATTCTGTCTTCATTTTAGATCTCTGGAGTATCATCCTCTTCTCCATCACTCTGTAACCTCTACCTTTCTTTTTGCTCCAAATATCTCTCATCATCTCTAATATTATCCAGTAGTGATAGTCTTTTTCCTTTTTTTCCATTTTCCATCAATCATTAGACAGTTTCCTTTACTTCTTAATACACGTCCAATCCAGGTTCCTGTTTTTTAATTTCTATCATTTATTTTCTCTTCTCTTCAACCCTCTCTAACACTTGCCTATTTCTCACTTTGTTCACTCAGCTAATTCTTTCCACTCTTCTCCATGCCCATACCTTAAATACTTTCAATCTTTCTCTATCTCACTTTTACAATGTCTATGTTTCACAACCGTATAACAATACATTCCAGATGTAACACTTTATTAGTCTTTTCCTTAATTGTTGTTTCATAAGACCATGAAAGATTCTTCTCTTCATATTGAATGTTTCTTTGGCCATAGCAGTTCATTTAATTTCCTTTTCACTTCTTTCATCTTCACTTATCCAGCTTTGCAGATAGTTAAATCCATTTAACCTGTTTGACTCTTTCATTATTAATTTGGATTTGTATTTGCCTTTCTTTTCCTATCCACATGGACTTTGTTTTGTTCACATTTATCCTCATTCTGTAGATCCTGCAACCCTCTCCCAATTCATTCACCAGTCTTTGGAAACTTGTCTCATCCTCTGTCAAAAGAGTTATGTCATCTGCAAATCTGATGTAATTTATATTTCTGTCTCTAATCTTAACTCTTTTTCCATCTAGATATTCATTTAACACTTCTTTTAGATTATATTAAAAAGTATGGGAGACACTCAGCATCTTTGTCTCACTGCTTTGCTTAGTACTACTTCTGTCTCATCATACCCCATCTTAATGTTTATTCTCTGACCTATATATAGATTCCAGATCAGTCTTCATTCGTTTTAATCAATCCCTCTCCGTGTTTTATGATATTTGAAATAACAACTTAATTTATGTGCTGAATAATTTTAATTAATTAAGGTTTTAAAAGAATATAATTAAGTTAGATTCTAAGTAACAATAACTTATCAGTTAAGTCATATTTATTTTTAAATTATCTCTGCTCTTTAATAGTCTTTAGTGCAAAAACATAAAATAAACATTTTATCTGATGTATAAATAATTTGAGTTAATGATTCATATTTTTAATTTTCTATTAAATTTAATATTTAAATCCTATTAACAAATTCCATTATTTATATTAAGGCTAATTATACTATGATCAAATGAGGAGGTGAAGGAGTTAAATTACTGTAATTATGTTAATTATTTAAGATTTATGCAATGTATATCAATCAGTAGTGTAACTGCCTCAGTTTAATTTCTTGATATGATAGTGATAAACATTACTGATTGCTGATGTGTTGGAATTAAAATATTTTATTGTAATTTAATTTGTAATAGGTTGAAAAGGCGTTCCTTGTAAATTAAAGGCCAGTTCATACTATCACAATGAAACTACAATAATGTGAATGAAATGGCCTTTAACTTATCGTAAGTGTAAGTGCAGAATTTAGGTCATAATATCATCATGAATGGTTGAGTCACAGATTTTGGATTGAGAACATTTCAATTTGACTGTAGTGCAGAATTATGTGACTTTTCAGATTCTTAATAAACTGCTATGCAATTTTTTTGTACTGTGAATGCAACATGTATCAAATTGCTACTGCAGTAGTGTGAATTGGCATTAAGTCATTGTGAAAGAATTTTTAAACATATGCATAACTCAATATTATTTTTTATTGTACCTTTAATTTGCAAAGTTTTACACTAATGAAGAATTTAGCATTTTCAGAATTGTATGAGAAAGTGATGCTACAAATATAGTGTCATTTGACAATTCTTTCAAATAGAAATACTGTCAACTCTAATTGTATAATAGCTTTAGATGTAGGCACACATTATACAGATAGATAAAATCTTGAAAGTTTTGCATCAGTTTAAATTTTCCTCCATTTAACCGAGGGAAATTTTAGTCGACATATAAATAGGAAAAAATAATGTAAGAAAGAAATGATCTTAATTATATATTATTATATTTTGGATGGGAATTAAAATATTTTAAATGCTTTTGATACTATAAATATTAAAGTATGAATGAATTAGGTTAAAGAAATAAACCTTTAAGGAACAAATGTGTAATATAGTAACATTATGCAGGTGTTAAATATCTTTGAAAATTTTTTAAATACTGAATTTTATTTTTATAGGTTACTCAGGACATAATTTTCAGATTTAGCTTTCATCTTAAGCATATAGATTATAATTATGAGAAAAAGCAGAAATACAAAGGTACCAGTATGAGAACAGTTTCAGAGCTTTATAAAATTAGTGCTGAGAAATAAAGCTACTTAATAAAAATTAAACAGCAAATTTTTGCATAAATGATAAGAACAGTTTAAATATAATTAAAATTAGAACTGATGTTTTAGAAAGTTTTTATTTTTTTCTAGAAAAAAATGGACGAAGAACAAGAGGAAGCAGGATCTGCTGAAGAAGAAGCTGTAGAAATGGACGAGAATACCGAGCATGTGGATACGACTTCCAAAACTGGTCGCAGTGTACTGAGTGGGAGAGGTGTTACCTTGAATATGTTGATGAATGATAAGATTTTATGGTCTGGAGAAGGTGTTCTATCTATAGATTATTTGGTAAGTTTATAATGATTTTAAACACTTAAACACATATTTTAAAAATCTTATATTAATCTTATAATATAATCAAGATGGGTTGATAATAATAATAAGTGCAGAGCCCAAACGGTTAGGAGTTGAAAGTTGAGATTTGGTACACAGGGTATGTCATGAGAATGTACACTAAGAAGGAATTTTTCAAAATTTCCCGTCAGGGAAAGGGAGAGGATTAAGTCTTATCCTAAAGAACCCAGCTTCTATTGTACTATTTTAGATACAATTTTTTGCATTTTTGACTGCAATTAAGTAGGGTATCCAATGAGAATGCTCATTAAGAAGGGATTTTTGAAAAATTTTCCCATGGGGAGAGGGTTAAGGATTACCCTGCAGAACTTGGCTTCTACTGTACTATATTAGAATTGGTTTTCTGTGTTTTTGACTGCATTTCAGTTGGGTATGTCATGAGAATGTACATTAATTAATTAAGAAGATTTTTGGAAATTCCACCCCCTGAGGGAAGAGGAGGATAGAGTTAGTTTTAGTCAGTATAAAGTGTAAATAATAAAGAAGGAAAGTAAATAGTGGCTCATATAGTATACATTTTGGAAATTAATAAATATGACATATGCATTTCGGACCATAGTATTGCACTGAAGAGGGACTTAACGTTTATATAAGTCTGAAATGCATATGTTGAAACAATAAAAGAAGTGTCTAACCTGAAAGCTGTAATGATAGTCTACCGAACTTAATGTCGTATTAAAGAGATAAGACATACATAGAACATAATAACAACTATCCAAAAGTGATATTTAGAAGTTAATTTTCCATTATAATGAAAAGTTCTCTGATTTTTTTAATATTTTTTAGCTTAGTTAAATAAAAAATCTTTTTAAATACTAAGAATTTATTCAGATAAGATAAAATTCAATAATGACTTTAATCATTTGTTTTTCTATTAGATATCCGATAAATAGAATAGTGAAAATGAAATTTCTTATAAATTTGACCCTAATCTTATAATATAATCGAGATGAGTTAATAATAATAATAACAACAACAACATTAAGTCATTAAATGCAGAGCCCAAATGGTTAGGAGTTGAAAATTGAAATTTAGTACTCAGTTAGGCTACATCATGAGAATGTAGACGAAGAACAGACTTTCCGAAATTCCCCCCACAGAGGAGTGGAGAGGGTAAAGGATTACCCTGAATTTGGATCTTACTGTACTATTTTAACCTGTCCTACGTTGTTCCCGAAAATATTCATGTTGACCTCATTGACCTGCGTGGGTGATCCTGAATATTTTCGTGTTTACATTGGAACGTTTTTGATACTAGACGTCTCTATGCATCACAATTTTTATATTAAAACAAACTTTGAAATATAATTGTTTTTGTTTCTATATTGTTCAATATATTTATTTTGTTTGTGAAACATAAAAAAATAATTTTTTATGATACAGTAAACACAAATTAAATGAAACCCATTTTGAACCAACATATTAAATTTGTATTTGTTGATTATGCTAAAGTATTCTACTATCAGATGAATAAAAAAATTAATGTGATAATACAGGGTAGGGCAAAAAGGACTGATATTTTTGAAATGGCTAGAACTCACCACCAGGTGAAGTGACAAGTGTTTGGCAAGTGGCATGAAGATAGTGAGGTCTTAGCATTGTCTTTTTAGTTGAAGACATGGAGTTGTGGACAATAGGATGCTGTGTGTTTGCATATGACTGTTTCCTCAAGAATAATGAGTCTATCTTGGCAGTTTAGCATGAGTTTTGTTGTCATTTCAATGTCCACAGAAACAAAGCTGTTTCTGTTCATAACACCATCTTATGTTGGGTTAAAGCACTTTGTTTGTGAGGTACACTCACAAACAAAAGACCATCAGGAGCACCACGAATGTGATGTACCCCTGAAAATGTCAAGAACGTCAGATCAGCCTTGCTGCGCAGTTCTTTGTCGATCTGCTTGGAAGATACTTCTGAGCGTGGCATCACTTATCGTTCAGTATGGTGTATTCTGCATTTAGACCTGTATTTCCACCTCTACAAATTGGTTGTTGTGCAACAGGTGAAGCCTGAGGATTATGCACAGAACAATGGTAGAAAGAGTGGATGCTGACTTCTAAAAATGCCTCCAGAAATGCATCACTGATAATGGACACCACATGGGAGATGTTGTTTTTCACACTTGATTCTGTAAAATGCTATTTTAATACAAACTCACATCTTGCAACAAATATCTTTTGTAGTAACAATTATAGATGATGTGATTTTTTTTTTTTTTAAAACCGTCTGTCCTTTTTGCCCCACCCTGTACTAATATGTTAAATATATGAAAAATAAAAGTTAATGTAGAACTTAACAAATCAATATAGCAATATACAAAAAGTTTTCAATGCTTAATACAAATTCTGATTTTTATTAACGCTATTAAAGCTAAATAATTTGGCAGGTGGTAGGTACTTAAATCACATCTCTTGTTAAATTTACTTATTATAAATAAATTAATTTAATTTTAGAATAATCTGGAAGAAAATATTGGCCTGGAATGGGACTCAAACCCACAACTCCTGCTTACTGCACAGACACATTGTCAGTTACACTACAGGGACCACCACCTGATCTTTGCTTCCAGACTAATTAATAAACTAATTTAGATATAATCATATCAGTTACTTATGCACCAATTGGGGCTGATTTATTCCCATAGTTTGAGCAATGTAACTGGCTACATTTCTGTATGTAAGTAGCAGTTGTGGGTTCGAGTCCTACTCAAGGATGATCTTTTCTTCCAAAGTATTCTAAAATTAAATTGATTTATGTATAATTAGTAAATTTAACAAGAAATGTTGCTTAACTGCTTACCCTCTGCCAAATTAGTATTTGGCCTTAATAGCCTGATAAAGATATTTAACTGTTCATTTGATTTGAAGAAATTATCAAGTTAGTTGTATTTATTATATACTTAAAGAATAAGATTTTACTTTGGGAGATCCGGAATCAAATCTGAGCAAGCAATTCGTTTGTAATTTTCCACAGGCAGTCTATCCAGATACATCGGGTTCAGTTTCATCACCCAGTCGCCTCCTGGTAGGTCTAACTGAACCCAGGATGAGTATGATTAAAAAGGCCCTCTTAGTGTTCACAGAGCAGGAAGAGTTAAAAATAAAAAAGTTAATGAATGAGAAAATACAACTTTATTTTAACTTATTTCTTCATTAATAATATCATAAATGTTTGTTTAAAATATATAGTAGTCATTCTATGATTGTATTCGTGGTTAGTTACAAAATATCTTAATTGTTTAAAGTTTTAAAAGACCAAATGATTGCTGTATTTTTAATTGAGCTATTTTGCCGCTACTATTAATAATTAAATTCTGAGTAATTTGTTACTAGAAATAGGCTTAATTATGAATATCAAATTTTATAAGAGATGGTGCCTTTGCCTACCTTAGTACCAAATTACTTGGAATTTAATTATTAATAATAGCGGTAAAGTAACCTGAATAAAAATATGGCAGTTAGTTGGCTTATTATTAAACATCAGGCTTTGAGACGTTTATATAAGTTTTAAAGGATATGAAAAGCATGACAAATTTAAAAATAAAGAATTTTAGATATTTTATTTTTTAAATTAGTTTACCCTAAAATTTTAGACATTATCTTATGTAACAAATTTTTTTCTTGCCTGTAAATTCTTTTAAGTATTATACAAATGTTCAATAATTTCTTTGCAGTTAATTCAGTTTTGAAAGATTTGATTATACAGGATGTCCCAAAAGTCTCCATACAGTGACACAAATCTAGCCCACCGGTGGCTGAATAAATAAAACCATTGAACACTGATATTTGGTCATTGATTCGTGCCTGACCAATGGAGTAGCCATCATGCAGTGTTCTGGGTTTACTTCATGTGTCTAACACCTAAACACAATCCAGTTTCCACATAGGAAGTCCTGCTAGAAGTTTTTTCATTGGCAGATCACCCATGTATTCTGTTTTCCTTATTCTGTCAATCCACTGATACAAATCTTAATGCGGACGTTTTAATGTCTTGTGAATAAAGTTACATTTTACCTTTGTATGTATGGAAACTTTTGAGACACTCTGCAGATCTGAAAGTTTAACTTTTAGGAACTTTTCAATATATGTATAATAATTGCTTTATTGTTTTTTGAAGAATACATATAATAATGTTTTTGTGTATATTTTTATCACATTTTACATACATTATAAAATTATATATTTTGCAAATTTATAATTGTAAATTTTCTGAAAATATTTACATTATAGTATTTATTTTCTAGGGAACAAAATTTCTGGGTGATTTATTAGAAGATGGCAGAATTAGATGGCAAGAAACGGGTGAAGTTTTTTCTTCACCTAGTGCATGGGCGATACACTGTAAAAAATTACTCAATCCAGATAAAAAATCAGGTTGTGGATGGTCCTCTGTAAGTTTATGATAAATGTTTCTTATTGTACTGATTTAAGCAAAATTATCTACAGTCAAATCTTTTTAATTAGAACACAGATGAATCCGGAAAAAAGTTTGAATTATCAAAAATTTAAATTATTTTTGAAAATTAAACTCATTTTTTGTGAGTTACTAGTGTTGATCAGAACTCATATTCTTTGGCAATACTTTCTTTTTATTTTCTTCTCTATTTTCTAATCACTTCAACACAAACAGTAAAATAATTACACGTAATTAGTATAGAAGCTAAGTGTACAGGTATGTGCTGCTTAACAGCAGGCACATACCTGCACACTTAGCTTCTATACTAATATCGTGCAGGTGTACAGGTATGTGCTGTTAAGCAGCACATATCTGTACACTTAGCTTCTATACTAAGGAGACAGATATCCTTGATATCTGAGAACTGTTCCTTGTTTTGCCTATTTTTAGTATTTTATTGTAGAATAAATCTTTGAATAGAACAGTTTTATTAACATATCAATATATTATCATCAATTTATAAATCAATAAACAGATACATTTTAAAAAATGAATAAAATTCTGTCAGTTAGATCCCACCTTTACTAATTTTGAAATGTGTCACTGGTTTGATTGTAAATAATATAGTCTGTTTATGTAAGGTTATAATGGGGCTGAAAAATTTTTAGCTGTCTATACCTTTTCTACGTTTAGCTCTGTTTAGATACATAAATACTTATCATTGTGTAATATATACAGCCTACACAAGTAATAGACTATATTATATAAGCTTTGTCTTACTCAAAAGGAGAATAATAACAGGTTTGTATTATTAAATAATTCAAATTAATCAAATGTTTATTTAATTTAAAGTTATAATGCAATATTATCTTTGTGTACTATTTATATTTATATACTTTAATTCTTTAACTTGAAATTTATATGAATGCTAGTTTAGTGTGTATTGTTTTTGATATTATATATCAAGCTTAAAATTTCTTAAAATTTTGCTTGTATTTGACAAAATATAAATACTAAAATTATTATTATTATTAATTTATAGCTGTTAGTGGAATTTGCTATTATATAATTTAAAAAATAAATTTACATTTATTTAGCAAGCAAAATAACAGCTTTAATTTGTTTGGTGATAATTAAGTTCTTATGTAATATCACAAAATTAGATAGTATATTTGTATAGTTTTTAAGAGAACTCATACATGATGAGAGAAAAAAAAATTATGAATTTTATTTAACAAATTAGAATACAGTCAAACCTCAGTTTATGAACTTAATTCATTCCTAAAAGTTTTTCATAAACCTATCTGTTCTCAAACCAAAACAAATTTTTCCATAAGAAACAATGTAAAATAGATTAATGTTTCCGACCACCAAAACAAAGTTTTTTTTTTATTCTTTTAGCTATATTTCATGCATAAAAATGACTACAAATACAATATATCTATATCTATATTTATTCTATGTATATGTTACTGTGAAAGACTGAAATTAGAGAATGTCAATATTCTCTGGTGAATGTCGACACATACAAAATACATCGGTGAAAGTCCGAATATTTGTTTATATTATTATACATTTGAACAATCATCAGTGTATGTCGACAAGCACAGATAAGGTTTGGTGGAGGTTGAAACGATACCTGAGAAGCCGATGTTGACAGAGAGGCAACAGTCTGTCGCCAAATACTTTGTGGATAGCCGGAGGTAGGACATGGTTGTACCTCTTTTTCCGGCAACGGTTTAATGGAAAATATCCACTTTGTCACTGGATGGCGTTTTTGTTCTTTTGATCCCGTGAGGTGGGGATCAGTTTGTCAGGTCAAGTGGCGGAGGATGAGAGGGGTCATCAGTAAGGCGTCAGCGATATCTGAATAAAAGACACCATTAACAGATCAGTTTGTAATCACGTAATAACATAATCAGTTCCTAATTTGTAAAGAAAAGTTACTTTCCATACATGAGATTCCTTCTCAAGAAATATCACTGAGAGAAGCAGCTGCAGCTAATTTGAAAAGTGGAGGGCAAGGCTATACATGCTGTCATTGCAAAAAGAAGTGTTCCATGAATAAATGCAATTGTAAAAGCAAGGGACTCTTGTGCAATTCAAAGTGCCATAACAGTTTAAGCTGTTTCAATAAATAAGACTGTATACTGTAATGTTAATCACATAATTTATGTGTAAGTTTATTATTGTATTATTCTCTTTAATGATTAAGAATGTACTGTTCATTTTAGGTTTAACAGTTTATTTACATGTGCTATTACTTAAGCTTTCTCTTATTTTCACACATTAAAATGTTGCATTTTTGTCTTAACTTAATAAAAATATTTTTGTTCAACATTCACCATCAGTGCATGCTGAATGTCGACATTTGCCAGTGTAAGTGCGAAATAACGATATTTAGCAAATATTTCGTACATTACACGAAACGACTGTGTGAATGCTGACATTCACCGCAGAATGTTGACATTTGCCAGATATCGGTCATTCACAGTAACATATATATTGAAAGCAAAATGTTCCATCACCACCAACTGAAACCAAAATTTACACTTTACAAAGCAGTGCTATAAATAGAGACTCAATTCTGATTTGCTAAGGTGAAATATAACCAAATCAAACAAGACTGACAATACTTTATCCACACTTTCTGAAATAGTTTTTCAATTGATTTGATTTTAATTTTAGTTTTGGTGTAAAAACCAGAGTTTTAATTAGTATTTTATTATTTTTAGTTTTAATTAACTGGCTACCTAGTATTAATAAATATTTAATTAAATATTAATATTATAATATATAATAATATATTAATAAATTTTTGTTATTTAATTTAAGTTAAACACCTTTAAACAGATTCGTGGATGTCGTTTATATTATGAGAATATAATTAACAGGGTTTTTATTAATTCATTTGATTTAAATTGAATTGTGATGCAAACCAAAAACAAGTGGTATCTTACACACATGCACATTGAAATCTAATTTGAATAACAATGTCATTGGTGTTTGTATTGTGTTGTGATCACAACACCACTAACTTTTGAATTTGTAGTCCTGTCATTGATTGGTCAGGCCATTGACTTTTTTGAACATAGGAAGTATAGGAAGTACCATCCATGGCTGGATCTTGCCAAGAAGCTTGTTCAGAAACAGTTATCTTATGGCATTCAAAATTTTGTTCGTAAACCAAATTTTTCATAAATGGGGGCATTCATACTCCCAAGATTTGACTGTATTTGCTTAATGTTCCTTAACTAATTTTAGTTACATTGTCATATTTTTAGTACTTGTGTAGTATAGACTTTTAGATCAACATTAAATTAAGATTATCTGTATTTGTAATATTAAAAATATTTCAACAGAGTAATCTGCAATAAAAATGTGTTATTATCTGATTTAATAAAAACTAAATGTAAAAAGGTGCCCATAATCTATTTTAATTTTTAGAGAAAAGAAGAATGATAAAGGATATTATTACAGGATATGCTAAATATTCATGAACTTTAACAATGGTGTTATTATTTAGTAGTATGGGCTACTGTATAATAAATAAAATATTTTTTTATTTATTATTTATTTATTTTTATATAGTAATATAAAAAACAAATATAATATATAAAATATATAAAAAATATAAAAATATAATAAAATTTTTTAATTTTTTTTTTTTTTTTTTAAAATTTTAATATAAAAAACAAATATAATATATAAAATATATAAAAAATATAAAAATATAATAAAATTTTTTAATTTTTTTTTTTTTTTTTTAAAATTTTAATATAAAAAACAAATATAAAAGATAACTGCTTGATTCAGAAAGCTAAAAAACTTTAATAAAATATTTTATTTATTAAAGTTTTATAGCTTTCTGAATCAAGCAGTTATCTTTTATATTCATTTTTATGTTAAATACGACTTCAGTTATAAGCAGGTAATATAATGTTCATAAGAAATGAGAACCTTTTCCTTTTTGAGATTGCTCTCTTATGGTCATATTTACAACCAAGGATCAAGAATTAGAGTTAAAGTTTCATTCAATCTATTTGTATGTAAATGCTTATTGTTTATAATGCCATCGTGATATTCAGTGAGACATTTAACATGTTCAAACATTGCAACATTCACAGACAAGTTTGAAGCTATATTACCTAGGACCCACTACCAGAAAACTTAAGTATCTCATATAAAAGCAAGAAGAAAACATTATAAGAAATAGATATTCCATAGAGCTATACTTCCATAACCAATAAATACCTCCATAGAACTAATTATTAGTTAACTTTAACTCTTGATCCTTTGTTGTGAATACAACCATTAGAGGAGCAGAAAGAGTTAAAAAAGTTTTTATAGAATTCAGAGTTACGTAAAAAAAAATATAATTTGTTCTATTATAATCTGAAAAAATATTAAATTGTTGATTATTACTGTCAACATAAGGATCCTTAATTAAAAATATGAAAGTTATTTTATTTTTATGATTATAGATGCTATATAGTTGCTGTAGAATTGTAATTGTAGTTAATAAGTATAAAACTATTGATATCAACATAAAGTTACCTAAATTATATTAGAATATCTAAAAGACAAAATTAATACACTGGCAAAATTATTTTATTATTTTAACTATTTACTAACATTACAGATAAAATATAAAGGGAAGAAATTAGATTCTTTTAAGACAGCTTGGTTTCGAAGACTAAAGCAACAAGGAGAAGCAGATGCAAAGGTAAATTTTATCATAACGATTATTTGAATGAAATTAATTTTAATCAAATTCAAGAAATATTTTTTAATTTTATAATTAATGAAACTTTGTCAAGTTTAGCATTGTATTTTAATATCATTCTTAACATTGCTTTCTTAATTTGTTGATTTTTCTTCATATTTAAGTTACTACTAGCATGAATTCATACATTACAATTCAAATGTAAATTAATCTGATGTTAACTGTTAATTTGTACAAATAACCCTTGACGTGTGGTTAATTGGTTTTGCAAGTATACCACATATATTGAAACCATGCATATCAAAATTAACAGTCAATGCAAAATAAATAAATTTATGAATTAGGTCATTAAGAAGGCATCCGAAATCATAAGGCTCAGTAGAGGCAAGCCATCAAGTAAGTGAGCAAACAAATGAATGAATGGCTTAACAAAGCAAATCTTACTATACTGGAATTAGAACACTTTCTGTCTACCCCAATTCACATTTTATTAAAAAAAACTAAAGATATATGCCTCATCTGGACAAAATATGAGTATCATTGTCATCTGCTAAGTTTTTAGACCTACTTATCAGATTTTATCACATTTCATCCATCCATTTTTAAGTGAAATATTCATTTCACTTAAAAATGAATGGATTTTTGAAAAATTCTTGAAATGGATTTTTGAAGAATTTAAAAAGAAGAATTTTTAAGTGAAATATTCATTTCACTTAAAAATTCTTCTTTTCTCTTTTAGTCAAAAAAGTTGTGTTTTGCGAAATGTCCACTAGAGGTGTGTTCATTATTATGTACACCAATTTAATTAATTTTTAATAATAACTCAATATTGAACTTATTTAAATAATATTAGTTGATATTAATATAATGTTCAAACTCTGGATTAGAGATGGGAAAAATCCAGTTTCACTTCTGGAAATGGAACTGATTCAAGTGCAAAATTATTCTGATGGAATGGTTTCTTGGAACTGCTTAGTCTATTGGAGTAGACAGTTCCACAGAATCATTATGCTCTATCAGAATTGCTGTTGGACTCAATAGTTTCTCATCGGTTTCATATTAGTATAAACTTAATGAAGAAATCAGATTTAATAAAATATTTATTGAAGATTTATTAATTAATTAAATACTTTAGACAATGTTGTATAGAAAAATCAAAAAAAATTAGAAAACATTAAAGATTGATTATAGAGTACAATTTAAGTAGCTCAGAAAACAGAAACATAAAGTAAAAATTTGTAAAAATTAAGAAAAATATTAACTAACTGTTACCCATATATGGTTGCTGCCTTCTTTTTTTCTTCTTAGAAGTAAAAGCTGAAGAATGAAGACAGAAATGTTTACAGAAATTACACTAAATGTGAAAATAAAAATTTAACTATCTGAATAAGAATTGAACTAGGAAAAGTAAGATTCATGCTTTTCCTAATAACTGATGGCAAGTGAAAGTAGGAAGAAGGGATCAATTTAACATTGCTAGCTCTGAGCTGTGTCTAGCTGGCAATGTTTACATCCACAGACCTGGGGTTGTATTCTGGTCACTTATCTCTCGTCTCTTCTTTCACCGACGAATGACGTCAAAGCGAGAGATGAAATTCGTCTCTCATACACAGTGGCGATTCTGGTCGTTTGTAACGATCTTGTCTTTGTTATTGACGTCACGATTCTATTCAGTTGATTATACATGTTCAGGTTATTTGCGCGCGCAACACGGTATAGAATTTTAACCAATGAAATTGTAAAATTTTCGAAAGTGCGGAGTATGTAATCATAGATCATGTGGCAAGGAAANGAAATTCGTCTCTCATACACAGTGGCGATTCTGGTCGTTCGTAACGATCTTGTCTTTGTTATTGACGTCACGATTCTATTCAGTTGATTATACATGTTCAGGTTATTTGCGCGCGCAACACGGTATAGAATTTTAACCAATGAAATTGTAAAATTTTCGAAAGTGCGGAGTATGTAATCATAGATCATGTGGCAAGTAAAGCACGTGTTCAAATAATGCATGTAATTTTTTGACGAAGTAATTATTTTTTTTTAATGTTTTATAACGTTTTTAGATTGTAATGTCAATTTGTCTCTTTTAACAAATTAAAATTTTAATAACCTAAGTTAGAAAAGTGTGAGTTCTTAGATATTTTTCGAAATATTGCGATCTAATTTCTTCTTAACTATCTAAGTAAGATTAACATCATATTCGACAGTTCAATAATTGATGTAGGATAATTAAAAAAAAAAAAAAAATTGGAATCAGTGATGTTTCCGAGTAGGCGCTGGAAAAAAATCAGGATTTTCTCTCTCGAAATATTCTTTCCCGAGATAGAGAACGTTCTCTAATACGATTGTACAGTGCGAGTAGCATCCAATCATCCATATTGGATATAACAAAATTGAGGCGAAAGACGAAAGAACGACCGAAAGACATCTATCCGCTCGTCTCTGATAAACGAGAGAATCGAAGAGAGAAAAAGTTGTCCAGAATCGCGTTTAGAGAGACGCGATGATCTCTCAAGACGTAAACAAATGATCAGCCAATCAGCGATCGGCTTGTGAGAGACGACAGACGAGAGACAATGACCAGAATATGGCCCCTGCATTAATTGAAACCTTCACAGATTGAAATTGCAAATATTGAGGGTTACCCGTAATTTATTTTTTGAATTGTATCAAAGTTCTACTTACTGATACCGGGCTAAATTACACTAAATATACGTCTTTTCCAATAAATACTTTAATTGTCTTAATTTAGCAGTTTATTTTTGGAATCTTAGATTAATTAAATGGATAATTTCAAAGTGTTTTGAAAAACAGCCAGGTTGCTGTAAGATTTGAACTTTCAACATCTACAACTAGGTTGAAGCATTATTAATTATTCCTTTGAGTTCACAAAATAAAAGTTTTCTTTCAGACAAGTAAGTAATTTATAATCCAATAGTACTGGAAGATTCTTTTTATGTAATCAGGGGTTAATTAAAACCTTTCAGGATCTTCTACATAATTTTACATCATAAACTATTTATATCTAGTTGTAGCTATGGAATTATATATAAATTATTATACTAAGTGAACAATCACACTGTAAACAATGATGTTTTATCAAAAAGTCAATAATTTTTATCTATTTGATAGACCATTATCACGCTAGCTAATTTTTTTGATATACATTGCAACCATTACATATATACATATGCATTGATATTGGTAATGGTTATAGAAATTATATATAAAGAGCTTTATGAATTCAATTATTACATTTACTTTTTTAATTATTCATTAAAAATTTTCCAAAATTGATAAATATATAAAACATTATTATTTATGCATTTAAGATTTTTAAAATCAATGTTTATTAAATTTATTATTATGATATATT